GGTCATTCCCTATGCACCATCAAAAGTAAAAACATAGTCTATACTAGTCCTCACATGCCTGATTTCAATGAGAAAGTCATTGACCGCTTTGCTGCATTGAAAGAGAGAAGAGAACAGTTTCAGTACAAGTAATGTAGCCTCTCTCTCTCTTTGTCCCTCCCTGTCTGTCTCTTTAACACACACACGCCCAAATCAGTTCACAGTTGATGTTGTTTAAAATAGTTATTTTTCATTTCAAAAAAAGTAAACAATTTTTTTTACAAATCTATACAATTGGCCAGAATATGGTTGTTCATATTTACAAAGCCATACAGATAGCTGTGTTTACCTTTTCTATAAATTATTTTCAAATTCTGTTTTCAGGCAAAATGTCTATCACTGTTCATTTTCACAAATCTATACAAGAGGGCAGAATATGGAAGTCTATAAAAATGTCTTATTACCAATAACTTGCATCAATGTTTTCAGTAGCCTCTATCAAAAGCTCCTGCTTGCTCAGGTGCACATATTCCAATTCAACCATGAGGCCTTTTTGAAGCAAGTAATGTGTATTCAGTATTGACTTATATGCTGCCCCTGTCTTCATGTGTTTGCTGTGGACATATCTTTTTTAAAATGTGTGTAGGTCACCTAAATCATCAGAAAAATTGCCCCCCCTGAGAATTTTTTCAGGAGCCGCCACTGCTTTTGTATACTATCTACTTCACTTGCTTTGGCAATTTTTACATACGTTTCCGAGAAGAGAGAGAGAGAGAGAGAAAAAAAGAGAGAGAGAGAGAGAGAGAGAGAGAAGAGAGAGAGAGATAGAGAGAGAGAGAGAGAAGAGTCAAGAGCGAGGAGAGAGAGAGAGAGAGAATGCGATAGATGAGAGAGATGAAAGAGCTAGAGCTAGAGGATAGAGAAGAGAGAGACATTACGATCTCTTCTCTCTCTGCCTCATCTCTCGTCCTCTCTCTCTCTCTCGTCTCTTCGTCTGCTCTCTCTCTCTCTTCTCGCTTGCGAATCGCTAGCTACGATGAGAGGGCAGGCAGGCTTAAGGCCGATGTTGTTGTGTACTAACTGCGGCCCCTGGTGTATCACACACAATCTCACTCTCTCAGCATATGAGTACTGTAGCCTTCCCTCTGCTAATGACGAGGGCCACCCCCATACCCCGCACACACTCACACACACAGATGTTCAGACAGGCACGAGCTCAGGGGGAGAGAGAAAGACTCACATGTACAAAGTATGTGTTCTCTCCCTCCCCCATGTACAACCCTCTGATTTCAATGCGTAGTACCAGGATCTAAAAGCCGTTTAGTCTTTCCCTATAAACATGTTTGTTAGCTGTCTTCTCCTTTAGTGCACTGAAGTAGATGTGTGTGTGTGTGCCATCACCTCCTCCTGTCACCAACTGAGTAAGCTGTTTCTCGACAGCACTGCCACATCAGAGCTTTTACCCTGTTTGTGTGTGTATGTGTGTGCTTGTGCTTTCTGTAGACTTACTATTTAGCGTTTATCTGTGTTTGCGTCATAAGACACGCGTGCATGTGTGTGTGTGTGAGCTTTAGAGAGTGGAGAGGAGATGAGGAAAGGATAGAGGTTGGAGATAGAAGGATGGAGAGGAATGGAATCCTGAGGGAATGGAATACTCTAGAATGTTCTGTATTCCAGAAATTACTCCTACTAGACCAGGATATAATACCACAAGCAGAGAATCCAAGTTGAGTAGCAAATAAGGTTCCCAAGGGGGCAAAAGTCTAAAAAATAGCATATGAAAATATTTTTGGAACATGGAATACCTTCAGAATATACTGTATATATACACTCAGTGGCCATGTTGTTAGGTATACCCATCTAATACCGGGTCAGACCCTCCTTTGCCTTCAGAACAGCCTAAATTCTTCAGGGCATGGAAACGTTGCTCAATTGGTATCAAGGGACCTAACGTGTGCCAAGAAAACATTCCCCACACAATTACACCACCACCACCAGCCTGTACCGTCGACACCAGGCAGGATGGGGCCATGGACTCATGCTGCTTACGCCAAATCCTGACTCTGCCATCAGAATGACGCATCAGCAACCAGGATTCATCGGACCAGGCAATGTTTTCCGCTCCTCAATTGTCCAGTGTTGGTGATCGCATGCCCAGTGGAGCCACTTCTTCTTGTTTTTAGCTGATAGGAGTGGAACCCAGTGTGGTCGTCTACTACAATAGCCCATCCGTGACAAGGATCGATGAGTTGTGCGTTCCGAGATGCCATTCTGCACATCACTGTTGTACTGCGCCGTTATTTGCCTGTTTGTGGCCCACCTGTTAGCTTGCACGATTCTTGCCATTCTCCTTCGACCTCTCATCATCAAGCTGTTTTCACCCACAGGACTGCCGCTGACTGGATGTTTTTTGTTTGTCACACCATTCTCGGTAAACCCTAGACACTGTCGTGGGTGAAAATCCCAGGAGGCCGGACGTTTCTGAGATACTGGAACCGGTGCGCCTGGCACCGACGATCATACTGGCGTGACGTGACTTTAACATTAATCTGAATATTGTTATCTCTAATTAACTAACTATGTTTAATTGTTACCCGGTTTTAAATTAATAATGTAACAATGAACTAATTAGGATTTGGGGCAACACGAGAGCAGTTCTTTAAAAAGTTACCATCTCCCGAATTAAACTCTAAAAGGTCTTTACCGATCACATCTATAAACAGTCAACTTATTAATCATAACCTCGTATCATATCATCATTCTGAACGTTGTAACCTCCTTGCATATGCAAAAACCCGAGCCTTACTTATGATTCAGTACTACACAAGTTGGTTTAATTATTTATTTACTAGCTAATTAAATGGGAACACAGGATAAACATACACACTCTGCAGCGGTTATTGACTGGAGAAAACAGGTCCCTAGCAGAATGACAACAACATGGCTTGTTAAAGAAGAGAGAGACACTTAACCTTGATTGTCACGAATTCCGCCAAGACTGCTCATCCTCCTTGTTCGGGCAGGCTTCGGCGTTCGTCGTCCCCGGAGTACTAGCTGCTACCGTTTGATGTTCTCTATGTTTGTTTGGTTTTGTCTGTTTGGTGCACCTGTGTCTTATCACTTATTGATTATGTCGCCTATAAGTTTCCTTTGGTTTTGTTTGTAGTTGTGTGTTGTTGTCCGCCTGTCCGTTGGGGTTTTGGATTTTGCTCTGGTGTATTTAAGTGTATTGGCGCACTGTTTGCGCATCGCTTATATTTCGTGTTTTACGCACTGTTTGCGTATCGCTCGCCTCCGTTGCTTGAGGCCCGTTCTTTTTGTATTGTCATATTTCTGACTAGTAAAGTCTGTTGGACTAAGCTTCTGTGTCCTGCGCCTGACTCCAACACCAC